CCCCCCCCCCCCCTAGGCCGAAGTAACTGACCAATCCCTTAGTACACCTGTGATTCAATAAACATGGCTTAACACAGGATGGCACACAAGATTTCAACTTACTCACGTAATCTGACCAAATCAAATAAACCAATCATTCCAGACTTATTAGCAGCTACTACTTTATAGGAACCAGGTTTATCATCTCTTGTCTTGGACACAGACAAGTGCTTCACTTGTGACTGGAAATCAAACGATGTTAAAAGTTCCCCGGATAGCAGATTCCAGACCTTTATTGTACAGTCACGTGACCCGGAGATGACAAATTGGTTGTTGTCTGTGATTTGTATAGTCATGACAGCATGGTGGTGACCAATGTAATCAAAAATATGTTTGCTGCAAAAATTAATATAATGTATTTAGAATCATTATTACAGAAGAATCGTTGTAATATGCTTACAATATTAGGTTATTCACTAAATGTTGAAGTAAAGCATGGTTTAATCCCATGTTTTGCACACCATTCATTACAAATTAATCAAGAAAATCTTTCAACCCAATTTGTAAAATGTATTTAGTACTAGTCTCTTTATATTGGTTTAACAAAGAATTTAAGACAAGAATATTATATGTATTTTATAATTTTTTTAAAACTATTAAAGGGGAAGTCAAGCCAAACAACATAATGTACCCCAAGGAAAGAGCCTGAAAGGCGACTATTTTTTCTTATTTCTGGTTTCCTTCCGTCCACCCCCTTAATGTCTCCAACATTTTCTCAGAAATTCTGCAGCAGATATCAATGAAACTTGGCAGGTTGATGAACAAGTCTCTGTGGAATATGCACGTAATTCGGAAAATTCTATGTGGGTCTTTTTCAAGATTTTCATCCAAAATTACCTCAAAATTGCTCAGAATAAATAATTAGCTTAGATTGTAATACTAGGGTTGATCTGAATCAGTGACAGATGGGTCGTACCATTACCAATCTCAGAGGAAAATGTTGAGGGGTGTCAGGGCTACATTTTGATGGGAATTATAGTGGTGATAATGAAACAAACACAGGTCCTGGGAATATACAAAGACCTGAATTAACAAAGAAGTCAAGTTGTTATTAAAGGTACATCAAGGTTTATCAAGATTTATGAATGCAGTTTCTTGAGCATGTATAGTTTGGTTCACTTGTGTACTCTGAGATTTTGAACCCGGGTCAATGAAGGTTTTCAGTTATCAGATTAGGGGAAATCACTTTATGATGAGTTGTAGCCACATAAAGTACATATTAATTCAATTGTTTGCAGATGTTCCATGTATTATTTTATCATGAGTATTTTATAATTAAATAACGGGGACTGTGACATTCATGTCTTGTTGTATATCACTTTTCATTCTCTAGATATGTAGTCCGCCATCTTGATTCTCCGGCAAAGGATTGTGGGTAAAATGCGACACCATATCCACTTGAGAAAAATTGAGAAAATCAAAATTTAGTCGTTAAAAATAGAATGACACTTTTTAGTTCCCTTTTTGTGGTCAACAGGTTTATATATCACCAATACAGCCTACTCACATCGATACATTGTATACAATATTAGGTAATTTGAGCATTTGGTAGAGAAACACAAAAATGAATACTATTGATACTGTTTCCATGACAACTATTTTATATGCATGTTTGGCACCGTACATGTATGTACCATGTTCTAAATTTCTGACAACAGTGGATATGATGTAATACTTTACCCATAATATAGAATATCTAAAGAATGAAATGTGACATAAACTGTAAATTGCATTTGCTGAGCTTTTTTATCTGAGAGTATTATGTTGCTACCCTTGACTCTTTCCTCATCTCTTTCTGATAAGGTTGGCTTATTACGTTTTTGCTGCATACAATTCACAACATGATTTTCATTCTTGCCCTTACCTCCTTCCCTTATCTAATGACCACAGTTTAAGCTGCCGACTAGACTCGTGTGACCCAGCAACCATGAGTGAACCATCAGAAGTAATAGCTAAGCACTTCACAGAGTCCCCAAAATCTTCCACAATATCAGTCATCTTGCCTGTCTCAATACTCCAGATTCTAATCTGCTGAGCTCTGTATCCTACTAATAGGTACTTAGGGGTGATGGCGATACATTCAACTACAGACTTGTTTTCGTTCAGGACAAGTAAACAGTCACCGGTTGTGATATTCCATAAGCGGACATCACCATCGTCAGACCCGGAAGCCAGTCTAGAATTGTTTGTCGAAACTTTCAAACACTTCACTGGTTTGTTGTGACCAGTCCACTCTGGGTAACTTTCACCAGTTTGGAGATTCCACTTCCGAATGCTACCGTCTTTGCAAGCAGATATTGCATACCTAGAAGTAAAATAAATGTGATAATCAATGTAATATTTGATATCAATTCCACACATGAATATATGATGACAAATATATTGTATCATATGTACGCGACAGTTCTATTGTATTGCAATATGCTTTTTAATTTTCTCTTTAAAACTAAAAGACGATTGTGTAACAGTACAAAAACACCTTGGAGCCTCAGAGGCAGGCTGGTGACATCGGTTCGCACTTAAGGGGATACCCCCACCCCACCGCAAAGTTCCAAGGGAAAATTAAAACATAAAAAACACACAAGTAAAGACCAAAAACGTGCGTATGTTTGCAGATAACCCACCAACAGCTTGGAATCTGTGCCTAAACTTGGTTGTGCATTTGTTTATGTAAGCTTGAATAATTACAGTATTTATCAAGACAAGAAAGCCAATAGTTGCTTAAAATCCAGCAAGTTTCTATCCGTTGTATCATATTTGTTATATTATTCTTGTCATTGCACACAATCCAATATTTATATTGAATATTAAATGCAGTTTGCAATAATATTCTGTATGTTTATTCTGTATGGCCTGAACAAAATGAATCATGGATTGGCCACATGTCACAACTAAATCATTGATTACTCAATTTGTGGTACATACCTGCTGTCATTAGTTACTGTGAGACAAACTATTCCCTGTGTATGCCCTTTAAGAGTGTAAATCTCTTTTCCATCTTTCACTTCCCACACTTTAACATCCTTGGCATTTGAATCAGTGACTACATACTGGTTATCAGGCGTCATCACCATAAATCCTGCGTCACCTGGTAATCTGTAGAGACATTCCCCCGTCTTGTGATTCCAGATTCTGCTGTTGTCTCCAGGTGCTGCTGAAGCTGCAAGACTGCCATCACTTGTTATAGCTACCGCCTGTGGCTGAGTCTCGTGGCGTTCTCTATGAAGTACCTGCAGTGGAGGAGATATTTGTAATACCAGTATGTATGGCATAGTGAGTGTGGCATGTCTGTCTGCAGGGGCGGCAATTGCCATGATCGCAAAGTTAGAATCCTGTATTTCATTTTGTAGATTTTGGGTGAGATTTCTTTGCGGCCATTTGAAAACTGGCCCAAAATGTTACATTGAGAGTGCTTTTGGGGTGTAAAATTGGCCTAAATCGTGCTAAAATGATAGAAAATCTTCATTTCGGGTAAAAAAAAAAAAAAAAAATTGGCTTGAACATGAAAATGGAGCACAAAACTGTGCATACCTGTATACTTTAACTATGGGAGTACTCGAAGACTATTTGCCTGTTTTTTTGCATGTGCAATTTATATACCGGGTATAATTTATTTTATTATCTGTTACTTTAATTTGTTTGAATTTAACAATCACAACTTGCATATTTCAACAACTATGATTATGTGCATGTTCCCGACAAAGAGTTCCTGATGGTATATATCTGCTACATTTTTCAGACACGCAACTCAAAGACTTAAAATATAAGATTGTCTGGATGACAAAAACGTTCATTTTCCATGTGTAAATCTACCATGTGTAAATCTACCGTGTATATTAACAAATATGCAAATCAACTCGCATATTAACACCATATTAAGCCCTCCCCTACTTCGGACTATACAATATACTCTAGAACATAGGCAATAATAAAGACACTTATTAACACCTCTGATGAGAGATCCAAAAACCTGCAACTTGGATTGCTGCATATTGGAAACCAGAAAATTTCTTCGCCATTTACAACTATGAATGCCGCAGTACTGATACCAAATTTGTATGGATTACTTGCTTATACGTCAAGATTCTCACACAGAAACAATTTCAAAACTTTGTTGACATGCAGATTTCGGTTTACCATATATTTTCGTCCATTGCGTGCATTATCAATAGATTAATAATAGTTAACAATTCAAAGCCATGCAAAATGTCATAATTTAAACTTGATTTGAACCAGGCAGTATAAGTTGGTGGTTATAAATATGGTTGACTGTAACCCTCGTTTGTGCTAAACTCCAACATATTTCAGCCCATTTATGCTGGTGTAAAAGCC